TGGGAGTTTACAAAGCAGGGTGTTACAGTGAATTAGCTCAGCTAAAACTTTTCATTTGATTCAGGCGTGTAGATCTTTATGGGTGAAAGTATAATCTACCTTTATAATTTATAGTTATGCCAATTAGCTACTCATAAAGTCAATACCCTGTTTTTTTATTTTATTTATTGCTCTGGATATTGTACATCCATTTAAAACGTATAACTTGAAATCAGAGGACAGGATTTAAGGAACAAACCGGATTTGCAGGTGTTACACCTGGAACATATATAGAGACCATTTGTTTGCGTCTTTAGCATTTTTGCATCATTCTGAAACTGATGAAGTCTGATTAATAGTTTTTCTGTCTGCAAATAAACTGTTGACTCTTAGGGCCATTTTCGGTGTTTCTACTACTCGTTGATTTCAGTCTCAATTGCCTGTTTGGACCATTTGAAAGTGTTTTCTTCAATTGCTAATTAAATGCAGTACTTAAACGTTTCGTTTTCTAAAATGAGAAAACTTTTGAAGTTTAGGGGATTAATTTGCTCCTCCAGTTTCGTAGTGTTTCATTCCAACCCGGGACCTACACGTAAGTTTGAGTGACCTTTATTGTGAAGGATCCGGGGCGGAAGAGAAATTTGTGTTGTTGTTTTAGGCAGGCGGTTAGGGTGTGGGTATTACGCAGTGGAGAGGCACATTTCATTTGTCTGCATTTCAGAGGAAGATGTCCCATTTCAAAAGGGCGGGTAATGTGGACAGTCTGGCGGGCTTTCGAACCCCAAAGCCAGAGGCAGCTGTTCCCTACGGGCTGCTAAAGGCAGCCAGGAAAAGCGGCCAGCTCAACCTGTCCGGCCGAGGCTTGACTGAAGGTAAGCACACATGCCTTGTTGAAACGTCTATTTTTATTTATGTAGGAGAAAGGAACAACAACGTCAAATGAAGAGCGTTTATCCTTCGCGGCGACGTCTCTGAGACTGTAGGTGTCGCTGTTTTCTGACCGCTCTAATGTTCTCTTGCCAACTTCACGTGTTTGGGCGCAGAAGGTCATGGTGACAAGAAGATCAGCTGTGTAGAGCAGTGTTTCCCAACCCTGGTTCTCAACGCACACTGACCTGCATGTTTTAGATGTTCCCCTGCTTCAGCACACATGATTTCAATTGATGGCTGATTAACAGGGTTTTGCTGAATTGCAATAATCTGAATGGGGTGTGTTGAACCAGGGGAAGATCTAAAACATGCAGGTCAGTGTGCCTTGAGGACCAGGGTTGGGAAACACTGGTGTAGAGCAATTATCATATACATCATGTATAACTCAGAGCTGTACTGTACATGATGACTTTATAAACTGTATTGCCAAGTAATAGTAATTAGTGGCCATAGAATTAGGCACCGTGATTGCAAACTCATTTGCTGTGATTATCATTAGACCCAATTATGTATATTTGACATTATTTTAAATGAGCACAGCTAATACAGAAATGGCTGATCTAAGCTGTTCAGATGCAAGTAGATATTTCACATCCATTCAAACCTGCACCTGAATCCATCTTTTGATTATTTTCTCGTTTTAATGTCTAATTAGTGAATTAATGCATTGCTTGCTCAGGAGGGAGGGTTGCCATAAAATAACTTACCTGTTCGTATTATAAGCTGGATTTGAATGCATTCTAGTATAACTAATATTTAATTGTAATGTATGCAATGGAGTTTTCATGATACAAAAATGTCAAAACTCAATCCAGTGATGAATTTTTTTGAAGGCATAGGGTCCTTTCTAATAAAGATCAGAAAAATAGAATTAAACCAGGGAGCCAACCGTGTATGAATATAAATGACCTTATTTTTCAAGGGGACTACATTGTCTAGTGCCACATGCAATTAGAAGTATCACTATGATCAAAAATATCCGTTTGTGAAGGGCTGATTCTGTATGGTGTTTTTTCTGAAATACTGAGGAAATGAGAAATGGAACAATACTTTAAAAGCTGTTACAGATCAGTCTCTGAATTAAAATTTCTCAGGTTTGGAGGACTCAGTTACATTAATCACAAATATTATTAAAACATGACCAGACAGGCAAGGGTAATAGAGAAGTAGAGAAGTACTATTATTTCTTCACACTCCGTTCCATATGTGGACATATGTACCACAGAAAGCTCCTGTAAGTTGAGCTAACTGAGTTTAGAAGTAATTGCAATTTGGATGAGGAAAAGCCGAGGGTTGATAAAGTCTTTGAAGAGTGAAATCTGATGGTCAGTAAACCACATTTAATTGTTTTATAACAATGCTAGTGACTGTCCCCTATTGCTATATATTTATGCTAGGGATGCTCCAGTCAGGTTTTTTGCTGCCGATTCCTGCCGACATGATCCCCATGTCTCCCCCAGGAGACATGGGGATTTCTTTTTTTCTTTTGCGTTCCCTCGCAATAATCTGATCAGTTCATGCGGCATAATTGATACTGTAAGCCTTTTTTACGGTGGCCGCCGTACTTTCTGCTTTAATACAAGCTTATAAGGTTTTTCCATGGACTATTGAGTTATTATCGTGGCGTAATAAGTCATCTGATTGTGTCTCCATTGTGTTCGTAGTCTGAATGGTTTAAAGGGCTGCTTTCAGTGTCGTTCCATCTGAGCCTTAACAGACATAAACATGCAGTAAATAAATCTATTTTCAATCAGATTTTTGCATCAAAGACTTAATAATAATAAACACGTTTTATTATTATAAAACATAGCAAACTAATGGTGATAGAGGGCCGCACTGGATTAACT